CGAATTATTATTATCATTATTATTATCATATTAAAATAGTTAACTGACAAGGGATGTCGAAATGTGTTCTTATAGAAATATTAAATTTACTTATTTTATTATGAAAACAGGACAGTTGTACAAAAAAACTGTGTTAAAAGTGAGTTTTATTAATTTAGTAATAAAACCTTAATTTTAACACTCATATCATTCATAGTTATTTCTTCCAGTCAAGTCATATCCACAAATATTGGCAATAATGGAGTCATTATAGTAATTATTAAATACACATACTGGCAGTTTGTCCTTGGCAATTACAAATAAATGGAATAACATAAGAAACATAACCCCGCATTAAATATGCAGACTTCAGATGTGAGAGTCTTCTACGAGGTCACATTTTTTGTGATATCTAATTCTGTGTAACCCGCATAAGTCACGTCGACATCAAGTGACAGTTTTTGTGTTACATAAGGCGGATTTGAGAAACGTGTTTTCGGCACATGAGTATACATAACTTTTATAAATATTTGGACGAAGAACTTGCTGTCTTTGAAAGTGGTGAGAAAGGCACTGACACAAACAGTTCGAAGTACTGACATTGCTTTGCAGCATTTATCCTATTGAGAAAGTAGAGATTGATTTTTTCATAGAATATGAAATGTTTATGACTGTACTCTTATTTTTATTGCCGTTCCAATTGGGAATGGATAGACTATACATGGAATGCTGAGAAGTTATTAACGTATGCAATTCGATAAGGATCAGTATCATACTCATTTATCCGGCGTTTGAATTACCACATCATAGAGAAGACTATTTCAAACATTGAAATGATTATACAAGGACTTCCAACAGGATATCCGAAGTTTGATAATTGATTGAAATTAAAAATTTTACATTATGTAATGATTGATTAGATTTCATGTTGTTTTTTACCAAGAGTGTTTGTCGTTTGGGAAATGCTATGTTTACAAATCTCGACAAGTGAAAGGAATAACTAATCTCACTTTCCTAAGTGTCACACGTTTCACAATTTGTCAAATAAATATTAAAATCAATTATCAATTCTTTGTAAAGTTCCTGATAAAGAGGTGCCATGCGTCCAACCT